CGCGTGAATTTATCTACAGAAAGAGTAGACAAATTAGCTGCTCTACAGGCAAGTCTTCCTGCGGTTGCTCGAGGTTATGGAGTTCCTCAAAGTACTCTCTCCATCGCCGAAAAATGTTCTCACCTTTGTAAAGCGGGTGTCCTGACCTGTAAAACGAAGAAGGAAAAGTTTCGTCTAGCTAAGGAAGGGTCAAAAGTGAACCTGATGATGGAGAAGTAATGAAGACATGACAAGATATGCAACGGTATACAGGAGCATCAAAAACTCGGCTTAAAACATTATACAAGGAAACGTTACCTATCTTTAACATCATGATCGAAGGAGCTCCATGCTATCAGGTGACTAAAATAACTTCCAGAACTTCATAGTTGTGCAGCAGATAATAAAAATCAAAACGCAATCCCATCAAGCAGTTTAAGGCTACTAGTCAATATCCGATAACAGTTACGCGGAAGAATGCGAAAGGTTAAAAATACGTGAATTATAGTAGCAGAGTTTTATGACTAACGCCTTCCCCACTGTTTCGGTGAAGGTTGACAAATTAATACCTGAGAATATAAAACAATAATAAAGGAAATAAATGTCAGGATATAATCCATCACCAAGTTCGTAATCGGCGGAGGATGCGGCATACAAGAAAACTGGGTTCAGTGGAAAAGACTTGGAAAGACTAATGGCTTTCTTGCAACATAATGGTGAAAATACTATCTTCTTCTGTATGGCAGTTCCACGGATAAAACCGAAAACTAACCTAGGTCAAAATGCACGGTATCAATGAAACTTCAGGCACAGTATTTCAGACAGATATGCATAAAGTTTATGAACTTAAATTAGCTGAAGACTTTACGCCTTGTTTCAGCTTATTTAACAAAGACTTAAGAAAAAAAGTTACGCGTAACTTGAGCATTGATGATTAATGAGGCTGACTGCCCGATAAAACGACGGCTATTCCGAAACGCAGGTACATAACGAGTTTCTTTTCCATATTCCTCTGTTGCATCGGCTTTCTGTCTGAAAATTGAGTCATCGCCTATGGAACTTTACCGCAATGCCAAAATATTCGACTCTACGAATGCTGACAACTATGACATAACAACATCAACAAACACCGATTAAAGAAAAGCCAAGCAAAGTTTTAAGTTCCTTTAGCCAACTCAACCGGCAAAGTAGAGTTGCTTTCCTATGAAACGGAGAAACGACCTTCGCAAAAACAGCTACTTAAATGTTTCAAACCACTTATCCATGCCTAACGCTGAATACGTGAATCAAACGCGAAAGCGAAGGTGACTTCGCAATGCACAAAACGCTCCAGAACGTCAAAACAAAAGAAGCACTTTAGAGGAACTTGATTTTCAATAGTTATACAAAACAATGATCCAAAAAGTAGAATGGTAAGGCGGCCTTAAATAGAGTATCGCCACTAAAAGAAATTCTTGAAAAATCTGATCTCTTGATAGATGGTAATATGATTTGCAAGTTCAACTGTTTCGATTTCAAATTTGAATAAAAATAATTTTAAATATCGGAAGTTTATTATTACACAACTTCTGATATCGTTACTCTGCTGTCAAAGTTTTTATGTTGATGTGTATTCTAATTTAATGATCAACAAGACGACGCAAAGAATAAAAAATTCTTCATTTAATTCAAATCCGACATTTCGCCGATAAAGTATTGGGCTTCGTCAGGGTATTAATTATTTCACATTTCACATCCTTTCTTGCTACCGTACGAATTCAGAAGAATTCTGGGGTTATTACAACGACAAGGAACACAGCCTCAGTGAAATCTTGTGCAGACTGTAACCCTAGATAATCATCCATCAAGTTGTTGGTATAGGCGAATTGCAGGCTTGAGAGGCGATCGCATCATGCAGCATGGTTTTACTTCTCTCCCATTCTCATACAACTACGACAAAACATTGCGCTTTCCTATTGCTGGCATGTTGACAGTTTTCTCCCTTTTCATCAGTTAGCTGAAACCAAAACTACAAGGAGCTCAATCGATTACTCAACTGGAAGCTTCTAAACGAAATTTGAGCAGCCGTCCAGGTTTAAAGCCGACACTTCTGATGCTGGAAGCCGATGATTTGCTCTTTTGCCTCAGTACTCTAATGTTTGATTTATAG